TGTTCCCTCCCTGTTGGTACCCTTTTCCACACTCTTGCAGCTTGCACAGCAGAGGGTCTACAGGCAAACTGAATAGAAGCAGCAGCATTGGATCACCTTGTTTCACACCACTTTGTATGTGGATGTGATCTGTGTGTTCATTCTTTGTGTCTATCCAGGTGTAGAAGTTCTCATCCATGTTCTTTAACAAGGTGATAATAGGAGGGTCTCCTCCCTTCTGTTTGAGAGCCCTTAGGATGTGTTGATGGCTCAGGGTATCAGAGGCCTTTGCGATATCGACCAATAGCACTCGCAGTTCTCTGTGTCCTTAGCATTTCAGATTAGCAGTTGTAACAGTTTGGATTTTTGGAGCATCCTGCCTGTCTTCTAAATGCTCTCTGCCTGAGATTAATGGGACATGCCTTGGCCAGCTTTGCTGTCATAGTTCTGGAAAAGAGGCTTAAAGTGATTGATCCAATGGTAATGGGCTGTGAGTTGCTGATGTCCTTCAGGCGTTCTGGTCTGGTTGACTTTGGTATTAAAATAGTCCAGCAGCACCTCACCATGTCTGGTATCACTGCTGATGCCAGCCATAGATGGAAAACTTCCATGGTCTGGGAGTGGCGAGGGTCCAACTGCCACTGCCACCCTCTGTGACGGTGAATGGCGAGTCGGTAACTAAGTGATTGCAGGTGGAGGCGAGAAACTGGAATACTTTATTGAAGAGCAAAATGTAATTTAAGGGCCTTGGGGGTTGGGCATGTTAATGAGGAGGACAGGTCATGATAATAAGGGAATTGCACAAGTTTTTACTGAAGTTACTTAATTGATTAATCTTTCCCTCAACCAGGATTACATGGGGGGAAGAGGATAAAGGGTTTAAACATGGTCTGATAAAACCATCTCAAAGTCCTTTCTTATTTTGCTGCAGGAGCCAGGCTAAGCCACATGGTTGTACATCACCAGGTCTTGTGAGGAAGGTCCAGTCCCTCAGGTCACGGGATTTCTCTCAGTCCCCATTGTCGAAGGTTTACTGTTCAAGCCCACTAAGCCCCTTTCTGCTGGCAGCTGGGTTTGGGCTCCTACAACGAGAGGCCTCCCACGTGCCCTGCTATTGATGCCAGGCCCCCGGGCCCTGGGCACTTGGCGCCAGAAGCAAGAGCCCCCCTCGGGGCTCACCCCTCCCTCACTGGTGAGTGACAAAACCATCAGAGTAGTGGTATTTCGGGGGCCCCTGGTGGTCTAGTGGTTAGGATGTGGCACTCTCACCGCCGCGGCCCGGGTTCGATTCCCGGTCAGGGGACTTCCCCGGGCAGATGGAGCTCGTTCAGCCCTGTAAGGCCATCCATCTAAGAGAAGGTCACTCTAAGCAAACCTACGTCCTGAGGACCTCACTGCCACCGTCCAAGCTCGCTCGGCCCCGGCAGATGAACCTCAGGATTAAAGGGTGGGCTCAGTTCAGCGCACACTGTGTCTCACCTAAAACATCCACTGCGCAGGCTCGAAGGGTAAAAAGACCTTTCCCAAATCTTCGTTCACGAAGACTGGCCATGATGAGATGATGAGGAGTGGTATTTCACCGACGGCCGGGACGCCGGCGGGCAGGTCGCCCTGCACTGCCGAGCACGTGCCCGGCCTCCCACTTATTCTACACCTCTCGTGTCTCTTCCCAGCGCCAGACTAAAGCTCAACAGGGTCTTCTTTCCCTGCCGATTCTGCCAAGCCCGTTCCCTTGGCTGTGGTTTCACTGGGTAGTAGGTAGGGGCAGTGGGAATGTCCTTCATCCATTCATGCACATCACTAATTAGATGACGAGGCATTTGGCTGTTTATTGAACACATAGAAATATATGTTCCTTTTCCGGGTTACATAAAGGTGGCCTGTCCACCTTGGTCAGAATGGTAGAATTTTGTCCAGAAGTCGATGTTGTGTGACACGTGATGATCTGAGCCCCAGTTGTCATCCCTACGTACTGTCTGCCCTGATCTAACTGGCTTGTGGCAGCCCTGCAGCCGTAGGTATTGCTTAACTTTATTGTAAATTAAGATACAGCAGTATGAGCTATTTTTGCCTTGACTATGCCATTAGCTTGCAGATAATATGGTATGTGGAATACCCACTGAACTCCTCCTTCTTTGGGCCAGCCTTGGACTGTAGCTGTGAAATACGACCTGTTGTCTGATTGAATTGACACAGGTTTTGGGAAGAAACTGAACCCTGCTTTAAGAGCTTCCAGAGTGTTTGCCCCAGTTGCTGGAGGGAAAGCCTCGGCTTGTCCCAGTCCTGATCTAACTTCCACTCCTACCAACACATATTGCTTTCCTTCTGATTTCCAGAAAGGTCCAATATAGTCCAGCTGCCGTGTGTCCCCCGGTCTCTTCCTGTCTCTTGTGTGCAAGGGAGGTTGTTGTAGGGGATGATGCTCTAGTCGGACTCGACACTTCCCATGCAGATATGCAGGTGTGAGCCATCTCAGGAGTTACTGCCATCCTCTACTTCCTGCTTGTTTGTATTGGTCTTGTGCCCCTGTGTGCTTTTGCTTTGAGTGCAGCCACTCTAATGATTGGTCCCAGTTTTCTGCTGGAGTTTTTACGTGTGGTGGGGCTAGTCTGGCCAGTTCATCTGCCTTGTCATTCCAGTGGCTAGTTGGGATTTCAGTCTCTTGGTGAGAGGCTACTGTTGCCTAAAATGAAAGGAAAATTCTCTGGAGAGTTTGTTGAAGTAAGGCAGAGAACAGGTCTTTATTTAAGGCCTTAAGGTGCATAAAATACATTCAGCACACACATGCAGAATAGCTGTTACAATTTTATAATACTGGCTAATTATCCTATCTAACCATTACATCCTGGCCCAAAAACTGTACATCCCCCCTCCTGCCTTCAGGCCCTCCCCTAGGCACACCTCCCCAAATTGGGTTGGTGGTCCCAAGAAAACAAGAGTTGGTCCCTCCTTCATCTTCATCATCCCTCTCTGTCCTGCTCGGCCCTCTTTCAAGGATCCTGGGTGTTCTCTACTAGTTTAGTCTAAAATTTGATAAGGGGTGATCAAAATTTGGAATGGTGATAAAAGATTGTGGCCTTAGATACTTCCTAAAGTTAATTTTAGATATAATACTGTTAAATTAGAATAGGCCTTGCTTGCTTGTGTTAATTCACAGACAGGACATAGTTAAGTTTATAATGAGAACTGTAGCAGGAGCAGAAAACCTTGGGGTTTCGATAAGGGGCTTTGAGGCTTAAGAAGAGGGACCTTGAAGACTGCTAAAGAAAGGTTCCTAGAGATGATACCAGTTTTGAGGTAATTGGACTGTGCCAGCTCAGCAATTCTTAGCAAAGGTGAAAAGTTTGGAGCTGAGGAAGACTCCTACTTCATCCAAAAGACCCCCAAATGAAGACCCTCAAGGGGCATTCCGAGATGGAGTCGGAGGTGTGGTGTATGTTAATGACTTCCCCTCCCAGTTGTCAGGAATTTGCTGACTGCATCTGTAACACAATTAATGTGTATGTAACATTGTATGACGTAAAAGGGCCAAACAAAGGGAGTAGGTGTGCATACTGGGCAGAGATATTCCCTATGCACCCGGTGCCTGAATAAACATACCTCCTCAGTACTCTCTGTGAGTTTTGGGGTTTGTTTCCACAAGTCAAGTTATATCAAACAGTGTGTGTGTGTTATGTTGTCTGGGTACATCTCCTCCAGACTGGATGTTTTTGCTAAAATCTTTCTTTGGAAAAGAACATTAAACAGAGTTTCAGGAATTTGACACAAAGGGTGGTTAGAAATGACACTAAATTGTAAATACTAGGATCTAAGGATCATGCTGCAGGCCTTTTAATTTGGTCTAGGGCAGTGAGCGTATCTGGGGGAATACAGACCATTCCTCCCCTCCACCATATTCCCAGGAGTTTCACTTCTTGCGAAGGCAGTTGTACTTTTCCAGGAGGGTGATGTTTAATAATGTGTGTTTGGGTTGACTGTCCAGGTGCAGTTTCATCTCCTGCTACCAAAATGTCATCAGTGTATTGGTATACTTTTACTCCCCGTGCAAGAGGAATGAATTACAATTCTGGTGCCAGAGTGTGGTGTGGTAGAGTGGGTGAATGCTTCGGTCTTGTGGGAGGCAGGTTAAAGTGTCCTGCTGGCCTTCCCACGGGAAAGCAAAACACTCCTGATCTTGGTCCCACAGGGGAAGCGTAAAAGACACGTCTTTGACATCAACAGTGGCCATGATTTGGTGGTTTTGTTGTTGTATGGGAGCCATTAGTTCAGCAGTATTTGGGACTGCTGCAGTAAGGGGCCCTGTGTTTGCATTAAGGCGTCGGTAGTGCCCAGTTAATCTCCACTTGCCTTTTGACTTGTGAAGTGGCCAATTCTTAATTAGAGGTGGATGTAACTCCCCCAGACCAACGCTCGTGGGGAGATCTCTGCCCTCAACCTCGAGGAGTGACTTCGGGGGTTCCCCAGCCAAGGCAGGAATCTCCACACACCCCCCAAGAAGGGTTGTGTTGGAAGAACCTGTGCGGAGGTCGGCGCTTGAATAAAGACCTCCACAACTTTTCTGGGTGCAGCTGGTGAGGTGATTTTATTATAAAAGTAGCGGGGCAACTGAACGGCTTAAAGGGAGGAACAAAAGAGCACTGCACAAAATGGCTCCAGCCTTAAATGATATGGGTAAGGAAGGCACTGGAACAGAAGGTGGGGTTTAGACGGAGCCTGCAAATGACAACCAATCATCGGAGATAGGGGCTGAACATAACCATATATGGTACTGTGTCAAATACCAACCAATGAAAGGACAGAACATACATACAATACAATACAACTTATATGCATAATCTACGATTTCCTTATTTTAGACCGCCACAAACCTGCCCCTGTGAAAGGGGACTGGCCCTTTTAGTAGAAGGGGATGGACTGACAGTCACTGGACTCCAGGGGTTGCCTCACCATCAGGGGCTTCATTCAGGGTGGAAGCAGCAGCCAGAGCTCTTCCCCCAGTGGGGGCACTGGTAGGGCTTCACTTACCGGAGGGTCTGTTCGTGTCTGGTCAAGTGTGCGCTCTGAGTGGAGCTCTTCCCACACTCCTCACACTTGTAGGGCCTCTCCCCAGTGTGGATGCGCCGGTGCTTGATGAGGACAGAGTTCCGGTTTAAGCCCTTCCCACAGTTGGTGCAGCGGAAGGGCCTCTCATCCATGTGAATCCGCTCATGCAGGAGGAGATTGGAGCTCTTCCCACATTCTCCACACTGGTAGGGCCGTTCCCCGGTATGGATGAGCTGGTGTCTGCGGAGGTAGGAGCTCTGGCTGAAGCTTTTCCCGCATTCCCCACATGGGTAAGGCCGTTTCCTAGTGTGGATGCGCTGGTGTTGGAACAGGTCGGAGCTGTTCCTGAATGTGGGAATGTTTCCCACATTCCCCACATGTGTAGGGCCATTCCCCAGTGTGGATGTGTTGGTGTTGGATCAGGTGTTTTATCAGGTGGAGGTTGTTCCTCAAACTCTACCCACATTCCCAACACATGTAGGGTCATTCCCCGGTGTGGATGTGCTGGTGTTGGATCAGGTCAGAGTTGTTCCTCAAGCTCTAGCCACGTTCCCCACACATGTAGGGCCGTTTCCCAGTGTGCATGTGCTGGTGTTGTGCGGAGGTTGACACTTGAATAAACACCTCCACAACTTTTCAGGGTGCAACTGGTAAGGTGACTTTATTATAAAAGTGGGGTACAACTGAATGGCTTAAAAGGAGGAACAGAAAGAGCACTGCATAAAATGGCTCCAGCTGCCACGGCCCGAAAGAAAAAGGAATATGGACGTGACACTGACACAGTAGAAGGTCAGGGTGCAATGGCCGGTTTATTAGGGAAAACAAGGACTTAGATAAGGTTTGGGTAAGGGGAGGTTCAATAACTGGGGTGGAGCATGGGATTGACAACTCAGGGTGAAACAGGATAGGAGAACAAGGAAAAGATGGGTGGAACTTAGGAGTATCCAAGAGAAGGGACCAATGGGAGCTCACTCTGCACCGCGGCACCTGTCAGCCAGTCAGTGAGAGATGAGCAGGAAAACCAGGAGAGAACAAGGGAGTTCTCTTTTGGCGGGAAATAACTGAGGGCAAGTCCAGACAAGCCCTGAACTGCCACGGCCCACGGGGAAAAAAGGAATGGGACCGGGCACTGCAAAAAGGGGTCTTGACACAGTAGAGGTCTGTGGAGCAATGCCAACTTTATTGGGGGAGCACGAGACTTAAATAAGGTAGGATGGGGAGGCGGAACCAGGAGAGGGGAGGAGTCTGGGATTGGCAGCTCAGGGACATTTATGATAGGGCGACTGGGTAAGGAAGGGAGGAGTTTTGGGTGTAACCGGGGAAATGGGCCAATGGTAGCTGCCTCTGCACTGCACCAAGCATCAGCCAATAGCAGGCAGAGGAGCGGGAAAACAGGGTTTAGGCGGGAAAACTCTGAGGGGAAGAAGGAGACAGTATGGTGGATAGGGTTTTAAAACAACAACTGGGGGTATACACAACCATATAACAATACAATGATAAACCGGGGAAAACTGGGGATAACAAGGAAAACTGTCCAGTCCGGTGTAGTGTCACATCCAGTAAATAAATGTCTATTTCTGTGTGGTTACGTCTTATTGAGGATTGTAGATTTGTCTCCAGGCTTGAAATTGCTTCCACTCGTCTGTGTGTTCCCCCAACACTGAACAGTACAAATTAACATGGGAGTACATTGAACATGGTATAAAACTGGGGAGTAACAAGAAAGTCTGTGGATTAATAGTCCTTTCAGGCCCCATACAAGTCCCTCCAGGCCTTAAATCTCTCCCAGTCGCTTGGGTGATCCTCCTCATCTCCCCCTTCTTTATTTTCTGACGCGACATTCGCGGAAAGGCTCTTCAGTAGCAGCTTGCGCATACAGCCGACAATACACGGAATACAGGTTAAAAAGGATATAAAAGTGCATATAGAAATTGCAATCATGATTATAAGTCTATTTAACCACTTTGGAAGCGAGGGGAAGTGCAGCCAATCAAATCATCCATCCATATCCAATTGTGGATATCCTGGATTAAACTCTTTAATTGATGGATACTTTGGTGGATCGATTGGGAATGGTCAGAGAAATTCATGCAACACATTCCTTCGAACTCCTGGCATCCATGTCCGTGTGCCAGAAGTAGGAAGTCAGTGGCTGCACGATTCTGTAAACTAACCTCTTTAAGGTTTTGAGTATCTGCCAGCAGTCCTTCTATGGCTGCTGTGGTGGCGTTGGCTTCCTTCATGAGCCAACAGCCAAGGTGTGTTGGGGTGTTGATTAAGGCACGAACCCCACTCAGACACGAACGAGTGCCAGAGCAGAATTGCCGTTTATTTCAAAACGCTTAGGTTTAAATACAACGCTTAAACATGTCACGTGACCTTCCAACCAATGACAGCCAAGTATTGTGTGAGCATGCGTGAAAACCCGGAAGACTACAACTCCCATGGTTCCTCGTTGCATTCTTCCTGCCCCAGTGTGTCAGTAGTGATAAAGCGTGGGCTGTTCCTGTCCCCGGGATCGGGAAGGAAGCCCAAAAACTCTTCATGCGAGACCATATGTGGATGTTGGAATCGCAGTCCGTGGGGAATGGTAGGGGTGATGGCAGAGTGGCGATTTCAGCATCCACACGTGGTGTAAGGAGGGTAGGGGGATTAGTGGTTTTTGGTTTGGGGCGTGTCACCTTATAAGCAATAAATGACCTTTCAGACTGGCTGAGGGTCGGCGGTGTCGGTTTTTTCGGCTTTGGAAGCCTGAGTGGTGCACCTATGGCAAAAGAAAAAGATCTTTTGACAGGACTTTTAGGGGTAGACGACAAATCCAACAATTTAAATTTGGCCGGATTAAAAAGTGCCAACTTCCCTACTGTGCAGGGACCTCCTTCTGGATAAGCAGGAATGCCCTGCCAGGCCCGATCCCCACACAGAAGGAAAAACCCCTTAGGGAGCTTCATGTTCCTTGGCACGTGTTCTGTAGCCACAGGAGTGGCAATTGAGTTATTGCACCACAGCAAGGAAGCACCCTGATAGATCCTTTTGTTGGCAAATACATTGTGGGGTGAAAACAACTGTGGTTCCGTGTATCTATGAAAAATGACACAGTAGCTGGTGGGGAGAGAGCTGAGGAGGACAATTTCCTGGGGTGGATGGGGAGTGAATGCCTGGCGTGAGACGGTTTGTGACAGTGTAGCTGAATTCAATGGAAGGTAGCCTGAGATCCAGATTTGAGATACAAACATGTTCCAGATCTCGCCTGGGGTGACAGGGATGCCTACCAGGCAAGTTTGAAAGGGGTTCCCAGCACTGGACAAAGCCAGGCACAAGGTGTCTGTGCCCGTGGCTTTGGCCAACGTTACCCACAGGTTTTCCGAAGGCTGCTTCATCCAGTCTCTAAGTGGTGATGAGGCAGTGGCGTTGATAATTATTCCTGAAGTGACGACGATGATGGCACAGATGTGGACGGCCCACGTGTCCTATCTGGACTTAAGAAAATCCTCACTCTCCTTACCGGGACCCACTTAGGTCCTGCGTCTCCTGAAATACAAGCGTACCCTTTCCCCCATGTGATAAGGGGAAAGGGGCCTGTCCAGTTTTCCATTAGTAGATCCTTATACATTAATTTTGCTTTTTTAATGGCCTGGACTGTACCTGAGTTAAAGTGCTTATCGGTTGGACTTCTGTTTGTGTATCAGATTCCTCCAGCAAATTTAAAAAGTTTAAAACAGACATGACCTGTTCCAATCTTTCTTGGGGGGTCATACCTGTACTCCCCCTTTTCTGTTTTTTTAGTAAATTTTTGATATTTTGGTGGGCTCTTTCTACTATACCCTGTCCTGTGGGGTTATGTGGGACCCCAGTGGTATGGTGTACCCCCCATTCTTCAAAAAACTTTCTTGTATCTGCAGAGACATAGGAAGATCCGTTGTCCATCTTAATTTGTTTTGGAACTCCCGTTCTTGCAAATGCTGATAAAAAATGTCTCTTCACATCCCTGCTTTTTTCTCCAGAACGCGCGGTGGCCACAATCATTTTTGAAAATGTGTCGATGGACACATGTACATATTTAAATTTTCCAGATTCAGGTATGTGTGTGACATCTGACTGTCAAATTTCCAATGCTGTTAATCCTCTGGGATTAGTTCCCTCTGGAACTAGCGGGGCAACCATTTGGCAATCAGGGCACGCTTTTAGAATCTCTTTTGCTTGTACTAATTTCTGTCGTAGGGTACCTGTCGGAGGCCTTGGTCTGTGGGGGAAGAGAGACACACGACACGCACAGCAGGATGATGAGACACACCAGGATGAGCCAGAGAGATGTCTGCCTGCTCAGTGCAGCAGGCATCTTTTTTATTGACTTCTCTAACTTCTATTTTCCCACCCATATAACATAAACATATTGTTACAAAAACACCGAGGAATGCAGCACCTGCACTCAGCCAAACAGCTTTAACCTTGTACTCTTTATAACTCAAGGCTGTGTCCATGGGAATTATCTAATTAGCTCCACTGCTCTCATGGAAAACGGCCCAACACTTTGTAATATTCCAAACCCCTCAAGCTTCAGTTGTGGGGCTGTGACTTCACCCCACAAATTTCAGGCCAAATTGTTTCTGCAGTGACCATGCATTTTGGTGAAAAAATTCATGGGAAATTTTAGCTTGTTGGTATAAATTAGGGGTAACAGCCATACCTGCTAGGTGATCAGCGATTTGGTTTCCCTCCGCCACAGGGCCTGGTAAAGTAGTGTGAGATCTGGTGTGGACAATGTAGTATCAAAGTTTCTGTCACGAGTTAAAGACAATAATTTTTTTAGCAGGTTGAACAGTCTCTTATTGGAAACTTCTTTTAAAAATGAATTTTCTATTCTTTTCACAATGCCCACAACATAGACCAAATCTGATATAATATTAATCACTTTGTCTTTGAAAATTTCGAAGGCACGAACAACTGCTGACAATTCCACGATTTGAGGAGAACCTTGGGCTTTATGAGTATTTTGTTACCAATTGCCATTTTCTTGTCAGATGATTACAGCATTTCCAGTTCTCCCCGACACATTGGTAAACAATATTTTAGTATCTTTTATTGATATGTCTGATGGCATAATTTTTAATTTGACAGGAATTGGGATCAACCTCTGTAAAAATTGGCACGCCGGCAGGTGGAATTTGATTTCTCCCGGGTAGCCCACGATGGCAATCTGGAAATTGGTGGAATTCTGCATCAGTTGTTCCAGCTGTTTGGAAGTCAGTGGAAGGTAAATGAAATCTGACTCTTCCCCACTGAGTTCCAAACACCTGGTGTGTCCTTGAAAAATTAGTTTTCCAGTCATTTCTGCTAGT